TTTCTTCTTTAACCTTCATATTTTCTTTCTGTCTTTGTTTCTTCTTCTTCTTCTTCTTGTCCGCCTGGTGGTGCTTTCGATTCTGCATCTTTTCCTTGATCTTATCAGTGAAAACAGCCTCTGTAACATTCGTGCTTTTTTTCTCTGACCTGTGGTTTGACTTTCCGGGGGACTTGGCTTCTTCTAACGGCTTTCTTGATATTGCCAGATCTTGATCCAATTGCTCTGAAAAATAATCCAGCAGAGAACTGTGTTAATAAAAATTTGATAATTTTAAGAAAGCGTGTTAAAACACAAAGTGACCTTAAAACTGTTTACACGAATGTTGCATTACGAAAACACAATAACATTTGAGAAAGATGAAATTATAAATTTAGTAATTTTGTTCATAACTATTTCCAGAAACATTTATTTTATGCTTTTCTGTTCTTTACAATACAGTAATATAGAAAACATAATCATCTTTACATTATAATACACATGGTTTTTGTTGGTCTACTTGCAGGTTATCTAAGGTTCGAATATGCAGACGATTTTTAATAATGAATTTGAAAAAAAAAAATGTGAATGATTTGTGCCCTGAGTTGTTTCTCACGAAATGAGCATTTTTCGATTTCAGTTTCGTGTACAGTATAGGAGTTCTGTTTAATCGCCACTAAATTAAGATTCGTCATTTAAATTCTACTATAAATTTTCTGCATAGAAATGTAATTGAAATCCGTTATTAGGAAGCAAGAGGTGTTTGGGGAAAATTACACTTCTGGCGGAGATAAGAAATGCATTTACAATTTTAATCTGGAAACATGGGGGAGGGGGGGGCACCTTGAAGATCTAGTCGAAGATGTAGACTGGATTTAACTGGTCCAGGATAGAGTTCAGTGGTTGTCTGTTGTGAACCTTTTGCTTCAATAAAAGATTCGACTGTCGTCATCTCTTCAAGGAGATGGGCCTTCTCATTCTAAATCCAGAAAATAATTTTTGAGATAAAATAACCAAAACACGCATATTTTATGCACTTGATGCTAAGAACGCTTGAATAGCATAGAAGTTTCGGATCAACATCTGAGCTGTTTCCATGACAACACCTGTTTTGCTCAGAGTGCTTCATTGTGTCCGCGTTGATGTCCGCACTAAAAGAGCCTGTTCATTGTGTTCTGGTATAATGGCGAGATGCAGTATGCAGGATAATCTGTATAGTCAGCTATAGCGACTGACAAGACACGTGATCGTCACATGTCCTTAGACTCTCCTTCTCTCTTGTTTTCTTTACTTCCTTGCCTGTTTACTTTATTTTATTTTATATTTATTTAGTGTTCTGTCTGACGACAGGTCCATATGAACAGGATCCTTCCATCCTTTTCTCGGACTGGGACCTGTTCATATACGTTCTTGGCAGATGATCCAGAAGTGGTTTGCCATTGCCTTCTTCTGTGTGTGAATGGAGTAATTGTTGGGATGCCACGGAGGAAAACTCCGTGTTGCCTAGACCACGGCCTTGCCCAACACAAGTTATAAATTCGGGCACCGCCGGGAATCGAACCCGAGGCCCCAGGATTACAAGGCCTTATATCCTCATTTAAATTGTTTGTTTGTTTTCCTTTTTGGTGCTGCTGACTCGGGGAATGGCCATAATGACTTTGGTATGGTTTCTGTCGCCGTGTAGATGCCAACGTTTCGGAGAAACATATTGTCTCCATCTTCAGGGCTGAGATGAAGATTCTAAAAAGTTGGGGGGGGGGCTTAAAAAGATTAGAGGAAAGGGAGGCTGAGGTAGTGGGCCAATCAGAGACGAGACATGATGTTAAATTCCTCGTGGCGTCATTGTGAGTTTTATTGACTAGCGTTTATCCTAGCCTCATATTTTCACTATGCGTGATCATAATTCACTGAAATTGTGTAAGAGATGTGGAGGTAGATTTCGACGCAGTCTTAATCTCGGAATTAGGTGTTTAGCTTTACGTTCCATCCGTTTTATCCCTTCGGAAAGCTCCCCGGTATTCATTGAATTGAAGGCTGAATGTATCCTAGAACCGTAGATGTGACTGCGAAGACAGACGTCTCTGAAATTGAAATCCGGCTGTAAAACCTGTTCTGTTCTGCCAGTTCACGCCATAAAGATGCACCCACGTAAGTCTTAAAACACTTTAAGCCTGAGACTGAGAGTTTGTTGGTTTTCGGAGCATGCCTGTGCATTGCGGCAGTCTGAATACTGGATTCTCTTCCACTGTAATTTGCATTAGCCGGGTGTAATTTAACGCCCTTTTGCGTGCTATGGAGCCGTTTCTAGCCAGAATTAAAGCAGACAACGTCATCATAAAAGCAGAACTGTGGTTGCAGAAATGGAATCTGTTAATTGGTTTCCTTGCATAGTTAGTGATTGCTCAAATTTGCAGATAATAAACGTGAATTATAATTTATAAACATATGTTTAGAATTCATCATTGCTTGCGGGACGTTATTTTCTTATGTAGCCTTTAATATTCGGTTCCTCGTTTTAGGCTGTTGTACCCAATGATACCTGTTTTGTTTGGTGTGTTATAATAAGATGTATCCTTTGAAATTTCAGACATATATAAACGAATGTGCTGTATTTCATTGTTAAATTAAACGTAACAAAATATATGACCCAATTTAATTTAAACTGTTTATAGTTATTCAGAATTTCCTATCAATACATGAATTGTACTATTTCGCAAAAATTTATTCTGAACTCATATATATATATATATATATTTTTACACACTGTATTTTTCTAATGTGTCGTAGAATGCGTTACAAATGGACATAATTTACCAGTGCACTTTTTTGGTCATGGAGTTCATAAATGGTATTTAGCTTTTGGAAGACTTAAGAGTTCTAGTCTCAGAATCGCCATACGATAGGATATATGAAACGTTATTTAATCTGTATGGGGAACATTGGACCGATATGAATCAATTCAAATAACACATTTTAAATTAAAATTTAATGTAACAATGTAGACGGACGGAGGGAAGGACAAATGCATAAAATACAACCCCTCCATTAACCATTACTACGCTACGCACGAGATATATCGTGAGAATATTAGCGAAGAAAGCGTCTCATCATCTCTCAACAGTTAAACCTAATTACTTGTAGATTTTTAACAGTAGGCGTTACTATGGAAATATTTGAAAAGGAATTGGTTTTTGGAAATAGAACAGCGTAGTAGGCTGACAAACGGAAATTGTATGTGCTTTGTGCAGATAACACAAAAATAGAACCGAAAACGCGTATTTTGTCTGCGACGGAAACCCCCCCCCCGGAAGAATTGTGCTGTAACGAGTTACCTCAGTTCTCAATTGGCTCATGGTGAGTGTACGTAGTGTCAGTTGCAAGCTTCATTAGCCCCCCTGCCGTGGTTTTAACACTAACAACACTGGACATGGTGCTGTTCTACACTAGACAGCACAACTGATTTGTACGGGCTGTGTGCGATAACAGCATACCGTGTCATATCTATGCATGTCACTAAAAATCCACCACTTCCAGGAAAAAAAGGATTTCAGAGTTTATTGGACGTGGTACAGGATGTACCATTTAGAACGCAACCCAACATTAATCACGTATTGCGGTGTAAAAATGAAGTCAGTAACAGATCAATCCCGACTGTCCTAATCGAACTCTCGACTCAAGGTCACCCTCGTTGCTAGGCCGCTGCTCAAGCCATTTGCGCAAAAGCTGTATAGATGTTGTTTATTCACGAGCAGAACATGTGTTCGTTCTCAAACATTACTTCGCATCGAAAAAGAAATGTTATGCTGCTGTTCGTGAAACATTTAGAAATGCGTTATCCTGGCAGGAAAGTACGGAATAAGACGGCTGACAAAATTTTCGGGGCACACGAAGTGTTTGTCTGTGAAACGTGCTTATAAAACGGCAAAACAGCTGAAATTCCATCCACACCGGGGGAAAATTCTGAATGTAGTGTATTTATAGTGTGATTTTTTTTTAGTGTTCTGTCTGACGACAGGTCCATATGAACAGGATCCTTCCATCCTTTTCTCGGACTGGGACCTGTTCATATACGTTCTTGGCAGATGATCCAGAAGGGGTTTGCCATTGCCTTCTTCTGTGTGTAAATGGAGTAATTGTTGGGATGCCAGGGAGAAACCGGGGAAGCCCCCGGAGGAAAACTCCGTGTTGCCTAGACCACCTCATCTTATTATTATTTAGTGTTCTGTCTGACGACAGGTCCATATGAACAGGATCCTTCCATCCTTTTCTCGGACTGGGACCTGTTCATATACGTTCTTGGCAGATGATCCAGAAGTGGTTTGCCATTGCCTTCTTCTGTGTGTGAATGGAGTAATTGTTGGGATGCCACGGAGAAACCGGGGAAGCCCCCCGGAGGAAAACTCCGTGTTGCCTAGACCACGCATTTACCCAACACAAGTTATAAATCTGAGCACCACCGGGAATTGAACCCGGGACCCCAGGATTAAAAGGCTAGTGTTCTGACCGCTAGACCACCATGGCGGCATAGTGTGATTAGATGAATGAAATTACGAAATCCACTGAGTTGCATATCTGCTTCTGGTATATTTGCTCTTAATACTTCTTCCATCATGTCCGTACCTGTGTAATCCAGTGTGTCAGTCGCGGACCCCATTTTCCTCACACGCCTCTTTACACTTCGAAGAGCACATATCGCTCACTGTCTGTGAACAAGATTTCCCAGAAGCCCTTTATGGTCTTATCCTACTATCTTCTTGTCTTCGTCCTCAAACTTTTACCCTTCATTACTCCCCTTATCTGTTCTCTTTGCTCGTTTCGAGTCTCACGCAATTCCATTAATTTTTCCTGAT